ACTTAAACCTTCCCCATAAGAGGACTTTTGCCAGCAGTTTCCACACTTGACATGCGGGTTGGCAACCGCAATTAGGCTTTTAGTGATGTTTTAAGAGAAACGCTGCTGTCCATCCCTCGACCATTAAGTTCCCTTAGCCGCCCCTTACGACACCCACGGCAATGAAAGGGATGGTATGTTTTGTGTCGAAACCACACCAAACTTAAGGTTACTTCCTCTTCTTTATTCTCATATAAATAGCAGTACATCAAAGTTTAAATCAATCATATTATCAACAAATTGAATTATAAAATTAATTGTAGAGCCTCTAGCCTAGCTATAAAAGCATCAATATTAATTTCAATTAACTAGGTTACGTTAGCTTAAGAAATAATTTGCAATATTTTAACAAAATTATCAGGTCATATGTCCTTATTGTGATCCAGAGAAAGCGGTTTATTCGCCCGATACGGCGCGACGTGAACCGGTTAGATAATCTCATTGTGTCGTAATATAGATCCTACGATGCAACGTCTTATTATTGTGTCTTTATATATATTAAGTAGTATAATAAAGTCGTAAGGATTGTTACTACGTGCATGGAGTTGTTATTCGCGAAAATAATCTAGAAAAAGTGAAAAAGTAGTAAAAGATATAAAAGAAAGTAACAATATAGAGCATATGTCGCCTGAAACCGTAATAGTTAATGTACTCGTATAACGTGTAGAATAAATATAATATGAATTGTTAAGCAGAATTTTATAGTGTTAATAATTTTTTAAAATAGTAACTGACTGCAGAATACTCAATTTTATTTATTCATTACTTTATTTTGTTATTAAATTGTTTTTATTAACTAACTAATGTCAATTGTTTACTGACATTATTGTAGAAAAATTTTGCACGCCATTGTTTTGGCAAAACACGCATGTTCATAATACATTATTACTAGCATCCGTGTACTGTCTTTTTGACCAAATAAATAATAAATAATCTTATGGAAGAAACAATAAATAGTATCTATCTATTATTATTATTAACATAAGATGCCAACATTGAGTTTACTACTACAATACCTTAACCGTAAAATAAAAAATATATGCAACCGCAGTCAGGCTTTGATGATGTTTTAAGAGGGGGTCTGCTGCCCATCATTTGATGAATAAACTGCCTTAGTCTCTTACGACACTCATAAGAAAGGAAGGAGTGGCCCGTTAGATTTCGGGACCACACGGCATTGGTGACCACTAATTTCCCGGTTCAAAAAGCAAACTTAATACTAAGAAGCATTATTTCCCAGTCAACCTTATAAAAATATCATTTTACACACTATACATTAAATGCGCGCTGGTAGGAGGGAAGGGCAGCGGCAATAAATGAATATGATTAGGGCTGACTAGTTTATTTCCTTCACATGACGTATATATAGTAAAAAACAAAAGTGTTATAAAAAAACAGATTAAAAATAGAAAAAAAATTGAAGAGATAAAGTTTTATTATAGAAGGTCTGCCGCCAATACTATACATAAAAATTCTAATACATACACTACATAGAATAAATATACTTGTATATACACAACTGTATGGTATTTTTTATAATAGCACTATCTTGAGCATTCACAGTGACTATATAGTATCCTAAATATCACATTAATATAATAAATGTGTATATTATAACGGTGGATGGATAGAGGATTGTTACTCTTTCCCTCAAAAACTACTAAAATAATTTGAATGAAATATGGAACATTGATAGGCTGTATTATAATTTAACATGTAGAATACATTATATACAGACCTGCGGGTAAAGACGCAGGATACAAATACAATAGGAATAAATAAAAAAAAATTATGATGATTCAAACGTCTGAACAAAGTCACACGAGCACTACTGCTTTTCTTTTTTTTTTTGGATGAAAATGGATTGGTAACCCCGCCCGCGCTAACGAGATACGCTGGCGGAGCACCACTGAGGGTGATCGATGAGAATGAAAACAGGCCAGTTAGCCTATCATGATGAATTAATCATGAAGAATTAATCATGATAGTTTCCAGGGAGAACCGCGTGGAGGTCGACCTGGTTAGGTATATTGCTAGCAATGGGATTTTTAGTCTCCATTACTAACAATCCCTTTCCCCCCAGCACTACTGTTTGGCGGCAGAAATACGATTATGCCCATATCAACTTTAGGTCAATATCATCATCGTTCTAGCCATTATCTGTCCACTGCTGAGCATAGGCCTCCCCCATAGACTGTCATAAGAAATGATCCTAACTCACTTGCATCCACTGACTTCCTGCAATGCATTTAAGGTTGTCACTCCATATAATGGAGTGTCGTCCTACACTGCGTTTACCCGTACGTCGGCACTCAAGTACCTTTCTTTCCCATTGGTTGTAAGCTCCTCGAGCTATGTGACCAGTCCATTGCAACTTCAGCTTGCTTATCCTTCAGGTTATGTCGGTCACTTTGGTACTTTTACGGATATTCTAATTTCAGATTTTGCCACGCAAAATAACCTACACTTCAGGTACATTTGTATAATATAATCGTGCAGATTTGTCTATGCCAAGAAAACTTAATAAAAATGTGACCAAGTGTTTTTGAAATTATCACAGAACAATTCTGTGAATAAAATTAGTAACAAATCGAAACATTCAAATAATTATTATTTACATATTTAGGTGTGTACAGTTCTTATTGTATTATATGTTCAATTTTATCTAGGTATTATTAAGTTTTACCTTTAGCTGTACGAGTATGGTTTTTACCCAACATTCTATAGTTTTCTTTCAACTACTCAAAGGTTGACTGTTAGAGATCTTTCTATGGGATAAGTCAGCCATTGTATATTAAATCTTTTAATGTGTCCAATGTAAATTATATAGACTAAAGAATAAACAATTAATGGATTTTTATTATTAGACATCGTTACACTATTTATGGTCGGGTCAATCATTCGCTTGTCTACAATTTCCTTAAGTTCTATTGAAACAAACTATATATGCTGATTTACTATGACAAAAAAGTTACCAAATTACCGTAGAACAGAGAAAGACCAATACAAGAGTAAACTCTTTTGATTAAAAAACAATGAAGGTTTCAGAATTTATATATATATATATATAATATATATATATATATATATATATATATATATATATATATAATATACAAAAACTACTATCAAATTAAACAACTTATTTCTAAAGTCGGTTGAAAAGAGGTAAGCGTGCAAAGAAGGTAAGTGCGTGGGTTACAATTATGGTTGATTTTATGAAATTGCTGGTTTCACATTACCATCACTGCAATAGCGTTCAATTTTGAAATTGCGATATACAAACTGTTTGCAGGCAAAACATCCTTCGTCTATACAAGCTTTACGTTGCCAATATTGGGGACAAACTGACCCAATGCTATCAATATACTTTGTCTAGTTAAATTTCACACAGGTCGCCGCGGAAACCGTGATATCTAATTCCTACTGAATTAGAACAACTGACGTGACTTCATTCTCTCTTATCATCTACAGGCCCATTTTAAAAAATGTCAAATATAAGTTAAAACTCATAAATTCTTTTTAATTTTCTCTTTCAAATAATAAGTACATAAATTGAAGTTCATCACCACATGTATAAGTGATATTTGCAATTTATAGTGAAAATCGCATTTTTAACCGATACGAAAAAATAGATTTCGTGAAGGAAAATTCATATAAGATGAGCATATGACTAAACCCGTCAATACAAAAAATCATCAGAATCCGTTCAGAATTAACAAAGGTGACAAAGGTTACAACATACACATTAAAAAAATACAATAAAATTGAGAACTTCCTCCCTTTGAAATTAATTCAAAAGTAACGAATTATCTGACGAATGTATCATATAAAATAATACCATAAGTATAATAATAATACCGTAAGTACCATAGATTGAGAATGCCAGGTAGTATTCTTAATCTATTATACCTTGATAATCCATCATTACCATTTTTATATTTTTAAGTAAATACTCGTATATTAAAATCCCCCTTCCTTTCCCGTGGATATCGTAAGAGGTGAGTAAGGGATCTTAAAGGGATGGACAGCAGCGTCCCTCTTAAAACATTACCAAAAGCCTAACTGCGAATAACAACTCGTCTGCCAAACGTGGCAACTACTGGCAAAACCCTCTCTTATGGGAAAGGCCTATATTCAGCAGTAGACAAGAGGGATGCTGCTGCCAATTCTACGACGATAAGTTCACTTAGTCGTCTCTTACGACACCCACGGGAAAGCAAGGGGTGCTTTACTCTATGCCGGGACACACAAAACTATGTCAGGGAATTATTTTATATACAAAGTTCAAGAAAATTATTTTATTTCCCACTCATATTTCTCCTATCGAGCAGCTATGCTTGCATTGGTTTGAAAAATGAGATATAGCAATGAAATTACAATGTACGGAGGTATAATATTTTAGTATTCAGGAATAGCAATGCATGATCATGTACCATATTCGTTACAGAGTAATCTGTGATATACTTTGTACTATGTTTAGATTTTCACGCTGCACGTTTTATGCTTTATAAGAAAAGGGAATTTTAGTGTAATTGACAATAATTATCCCTATATGTCAAGCGGATCGTCAACTTATCTGTAGTTTGTTGTTAAACAGACTGGTACGATTCTTTTATTACATGTTAATGATCAATTCTATAAGTCAGTATAGAATAATGCCTTTATGTATGGTACAGTCATCAAATATACGCATTAAAAACCACATCGTGCAAGATCCGTAAGTACGACCTCCATCCTACCCCTATTGCCTAACTTCTACTCGGAACACACTTGTGAATGAAATGAACCAAGGGTTGATCAATGACCGCCGTTACAGACGTCATCACCTCTACCACTGTACTGGCATATCTGCAAAGCTATCGTAAATTTCAACCGAGATATAGCCATTTACGATCGTTATTTAGCTAAATAGCGGTGCAATGGTAGGCGCCTCGGCCAGTCGTCTTACAAAATCGGCCGGCGTGCATCTTTGCGTTCGTCGAAGTATAAAGCATCGTGGTGGTAGATTTAACAGTCATTCAGAGGCAAACAGTGCGACAGTGAAGTGGTTAGACTTATATTACATCATCTGAAGTGATACGAGTACATTAGAGATAGCACAATCAAAAGTAAGTTGTATTGAAGTGATAAGTTCTTAAAAACCTGGAGTAAAGTTTCTAATAGTTTAATATTAAAAGGTGACACTGAATTGAATGAAGCCAAAAAATTTGTTTTGTCATTTAAATCAATAAAATATTACCAATATTTTGCTCTATTGAAGTATATTTATAACACTACATGTTATATAAATGCAATTATATTTGACAAAAAATAAACAGTTTTGTATTTCATCAATTTTGTTAGTGATAACTTCAAATCTTTACCGGTTACAAATAGTACACCAGTGAATGCATATTGTTATATATAAAGATATAAAATATTAAACTTTAGTTCACATACGGCTTTTTCAGATCAGTGTTTTCTTAAACATTTTTAAGTAAGTACCTATTAAAACACTAACATAATAATAAAGATATAATTCCAATACGATAAATTATCCCGTAAAATTAAGCACTTACTGCTGCAATTTATAAATAGAAATATGTCTTGTTTGCCACTAACCTGTTTAAATTGATCCTCTTGAATGCATTTCGCTTTCACTTCTCTCACAATCGCAAACCGCTAAATTAGGTCATTGAAATGAATCGTAAAATGAATAACAATATTTATTTATACATAATTTTATTACCCTCTTTTTACAACATATTCTACATCATACAACCCCAAATAAAAAATATATACTCGTATTTTTAAATATGAAAAACTAAAAAATAATATATGTATTCTAAAATACTACTACATATATAAAACATTAATTTCATTTAATCTATTTGGTTAATCTGAGAATATGAAATTCAACTTTCATCAAGTATCTACTTACAGTACAACTTTCGATATACCTAACTTTATTCCAACTACGATATAGGTACGCTCAGGAACTTTCATAACAAACAGTCGTATCATGCTATTTACTATTAATAAAACAAGACATTTCGTTTCTCATACTTTCTGCGTTATTGTGTACCGTCGTGGAAATGGAATCTTGATTCCGATCTTTCATTATTATAAACACAATAGGGAAATTTACATACTAGCAATCTCGTAATAAGTAGCTCAACTAGCACTGTAATGTGTTGCATAAAAAAACAAGATGGAGCATTTCCGAGTTACATAATAACTAAGTATTACACGAAAATGACGCATCGGTCGAATCGCGCGACGCTTGCCAATAGACGTTGTACCGGTTACGGAGCGACACTGACACCAATTTCTTTCATAACAATAACAATAGTGTGACACAAATTGCTTAAGCCATGTATAGCATACATATGTTTACATATATACATTTCAGTAAGGGAATTAATTATATTCGGTTGATAAACACAAATAGAATTAAGAAATAATTTCGATGACTAACATATGACGATGTTGTTTACTAAGATTCAAATCCTATACGTAACTGCATACCAAGTTAATACACGCGAGAGTGCTTTCGCTAGCCCACGCCAACCAGCCTGCGTCAGCTCAGCCGCTACAGTGCGCTGACATTATAGAGAGTTATATAACTTTAACTGTCCGCGAAAGTAAAAGTGATTCTCTGCCTACCAAAGTTTCGAAACAACGACATGCTTTACTAAATGAGGATTAAATCATGTCTATTTTAGTCCATTCTCAGAATTTCTTTATCTTTCCTTTCAGAAATGCGGTGGTTTACATTCAGCTGCATATTATTATCATTACTATTAAGTAGTACATTGGCTGATTGGTCATGGGGTGAAAAATCTGATGATCAAACTAAAGAATTGGATACACAAAAATCTACAGAGTTGCTGCAAGGAGAAAAATTACCAGAAGCTCAAGAAAAAAAATTTGAGTCTAACAGCACTGTACTTGATGACATTGTCGATGAACTAGTCAGCAGCAAACAAGGCAGGAGTTTAGGTGGCTTCGATGGTGTCGACGATGTATACAGCGATCCCACGATCAAGGAAGCCTTGGACGCAGGTGATGATGCTGAAGCTAGAAACCTTATCAAAGGACGTCTCTGTACATTAGGACTTATTGAAGTAAGTATAAATAACACCTAGTTGTTTTCCTGGCTACCATATCAAATTTTAAATTTAATTCTAATTCTACTTAATTTTTTGTTTAGTGTGACGAAGAACCACAAGAAAAGCGCACTTATTTGTCACCCGATGAGCTAATTTATGCCCAACCTGTTGATATAAAACCAGTTGGTAAACCAATTGCATCGATTCCTGTACGTGGACCTCCTAGAGCTTATGGACCTCCAAAACCGATGCCATATCCACCTCGCCCACAAAAGATCCCACCAAAGCGTGTAGGATATGGAAGTAATTATGCAAACAACTACCGACCAGGTTTTTCAGAAAAATACGGCGTCGCTAGCAACAACTTCCAATTTTCACAAAGTAGCGGATTATATGGCGGCCACGAATCTAACTACGTGACTAAACCTCCAAGTTTTCCTAACGAATCTCCATATACCTTTGAAAATTCTAAACCAATTTACAACAAAGGCCCCATTACACAGTCGTCTAGTAAAACGGAAACTGTTGTACAGCAACACGTTCATCATCATTACGTTCATGGTGATAGTGACAAAGATCCAAAAGTAATTATTAAGCCGGTGGCAATACCAGTAGGATCTGTTGGACAGTTGGAGTCAATCGGAAGCTTAACATCGCAATCACATGTACAGCAGTCGACAGATATAATAACAGGCGGTGGGAACGATTTTAGTGGAATACATTCAGGTGGCTTTAAACCAATGGCAGGAGGTTACTTAGAAAATAAACCAGGATATGAAACTGATACAATCTACGGTTCCCAATATAGTCACAATAGTTTCAACAAAGGCAGCTCGAATATTTTAACACAATCATTGCCAAATCCCTATCCTAGTAATACATTCGAAGACCAAAAGTACGGTAATTCGTTAGGCGCTTACGCTACTCAAAACAATGAATTCTATAAAAAAGAGCTACATGTAGGATCCACAGACAATTTATACAACCGAGGACCCGCAACCTTTGGTCAAAACAATTTATATCAAGAAAATTATCATGAAGCTAAAGCCCAAGGATTTGAATGTGTTTGTGTAAACTATGATCAATGTCCTAGTCAAGAAGTTATTGGTCGTAGAGATGATTTGTATCTACCTATTGACCCACGTAACAAAGGTAGTGACATCACGGCTTTAACTGAAGAACAACTAGACAATCTCACAAAGACAGATGCCTCAGAAAGCGCACGCGAAAGTAAAATAAATGCTACAGAGACTGATACTAAAAAAATAAGCAAACGAGAAACCAAGGAAGATAGCTCTACCGAACCTTCAAAGGAAATACAAGCGGTAAGTAAGCTGTTACTTATTTTTAATAACATTATTTGAAATTACTAATATTTTTGTCAATGCATCACCATTCTATTTCACCCCACTATACATCCTGTAATAATAATACCTTCCTTGATCCCATTTATTTGTACACGAAATATATCAGTATATTTATTTTATCACTATCATTCGTCATATAAAGCTTAGTCTATACTAAATTCCATTTTCAAAGTTAAAATAATGTATGAAGCAGTGTAATCCAACACTTTTAAATAATATTACATAAAATGTTAATGTAGACCGAGCTTAAAGTTGAGGTAAGCTATTCGTTCATTCGGTCCAGGTTCGTGTTAATCATTCATATTATATTACGTCCAATAGTAACAGCTTACAAAAGAAACACTAAACAATGGGCACTTACATGAAGCTAACACTAGGTAAATAAAGTTTCGTTTACAATAATACATAAATATCACTGCAGCGCCTCATTGGATTGGCCGGGTATGGCGGCAATGGCGGCAATAACAACAAACAAGTGCAGCCCACGTTTGGTGTCTCTTTTGGGTTGCCCCAGCCATCACATGGTGGATATCCCATCAATCCTTTTAATTCTAATCCTCTCTATAACCCTTACGGTCCAGCTCTCAATAGTGGTGGCCTTAATTTGGGTCTAATTTCTGTAAATCCATTACTATCAGTTCAAGTTTCAAAAAATGATTACGGCGAAAAAGTAGTAAAACCTTTTGTGAACTTACATGTGACACCTAACGAACACGTAGTCGACAAATTTAAGCACCTGTTTCACGAAAAGAAACTATATTTACTTAACAAACATGAGCATTATCATCACTTTACAAATCCTCACCATTTTGATCACTACCATAAACCAATACCTCCACAATATGCACCTGCACCTCACTTTCCTCAATATCACGGTCCACCAGTATACTCTCCGCATTACCCACACTATAAACCCGCTTACACAAAAATTCACCCGTACAACATTCACCACGAACCACACCACCACCCTAATGATGATTACTACGATGACGATGATAATGTTGGACATTACGATGATAATATAGATTACCTCAACCATAACCAAGGTTTTGAAAGATCGTCAAAAACTAACGCAACAGACAGACAAAGTAATTATGCCAATCGATATACATATTCCCGTTCCCTGACCCTCCCACCAAATGATGGGGCAAGCCGTGGAGGCCAAACCATCCGTTTTCCTGAGAATAGAAAGAAGAGAGAAATCAGTATAGAAAAACCTAGCAAAAATATAGAAGAGGTAACCTACACCCAATACTGCAATCCTTCTAATGCCAATAAAATTACTCGAATCTATAAACTATTCACTAGCTGACATTTGTTTTTTTTTTATTCCAGCGTCAAGGATACTTTGGACAACAGTCTATTCAACAGTGTCGGCCAAATCAAGTCTGCTGTAGACGACCGCTTCGACCTCAAGCAGGAAACCGAGGCCAATGTGGCATAAGACATTCCCAAGGAATTAACGGCAGAATAAAAACACCATCATATGTCGACGGCGAAAGTGAATTCGGAGAATATCCATGGCAGGCGGCTATATTGAAAAAGGACCCGAAAGAGTCTGTTTATGTCTGCGGAGGAACACTAATTGACGGACTTCATATAATGACTGCTGCTCATTGTATCAAATCGTAAGTATGGTGATAAACAATAATGTACCTTTTGGTAAATTATTAAAACAATGTTAAATCATTACAATCTCATTAATAACTTTTATAAACCTAAAAATATTAATTCACTTTTCTTCTATTTCAGATACAAAGGATTCGAACTAAGAGTACGTCTTGGTGAATGGGATGTCAATCGTGATGTAGAATTCTATCCGTACATCGAAAGAGATGTGGTATCAGTACATGTTCATCCACTGTACTACGCCGGTACTCTGGATAATGACCTTGCTATTCTGAAGTTGGACCATCCTGTCGAATGGACGAAATACCCACACATCAGTCCTGCCTGCCTGCCTGATAAATACACCGACTACTCCGGGCAACGATGCTGGACAACTGGTTGGGGCAAGGATGCTTTCGGTGACTACGGCAAATATCAAAATACACTGAAAGAAGTTGATGTCCCAATATTGTCTCACGGTCAATGCCAACAGCAGTTAAGGCAAACAAGATTGGGCTACAACTATGAATTAAATCAAGGGTTCCTTTGCGCTGGTGGTGAAGAAGGTAAAGATGCCTGCAAAGGGGACGGAGGAGGCCCACTAGTGTGCGAGCGTGGTGGTACCTGGCAGCTTGTGGGTGTGGTTTCCTGGGGTATTGGCTGTGGACAAGTTGGAGTACCCGGCGTCTACGTCAAAGTAGCCCACTACCTGGACTGGATCTCACAGATTACAGGCAAATTTGCACCGTACTAAAATACATATAATTTTTTTTATGAATGTCACAATTATGACTGAATTTTATACATATATTTATTACTAGGTGTTAGACCTATTTATTATTTGTAATTTATTATAACTTTGGATGGTAATATCCAGAGATTACGAGTAATTGCATGTGCAGATATAATAAAATATAAAGTAAATTTTTAAATATGACTTTTATTATGAATTTTTATATATTACGAAGATAAAGATTTCACATCCTAAAACTTCCATTCAAAAGTAAACTATTCAGAAGGCCCAAATTTGCAGCGATTGGGACACTGGTTGGAACTGCTAGGATAATTTTTTTTTTTTCAATATTTTAAGGGCTTTCTTCAGGTATATCAGTCCTATTGTACCCTGAACTTTTCAATATTTTAAGGGCTTTCTGTAAGAAAGAGGGTCGTACACGGCCATAGGCCTAGAGCTCAATTAATTAGAAAAATAAATACTTTTGTCTTGTCACTAAAATAATCTTTGTACCCAATGGTACAAATAAAATACGTACGGTACGAAATAAAATATTTAAATATAAAATAACATTATTGGTCTCCCGTAAAACTCCACATCCATCACAAACACATCATACATAGAATTTGACTTCATTTAAAAATAAAATATACCTATAGTAATTTATCTGAGTTTAATTAATAAATTTCATCACATTATCCAATAATTTAAAATGGATGGAATGATTAAAACAATGACAATAAATAAAGCTAATATCTAATATTTGGTATATGTGCGAAAGTGTATACAAATCTTATATTATTAATACGATATACTAAGTCTATGATACAAACAGCAATCATTATTAGAAAGGTTAATTAGCTTATCTACATTTCACTATCGGCGCACTTGTGATATTTACACCTTTTTTTATTTAATATCATTCAAAAATTATATTCTTAATCTATATCTTAAATTAATTAAAAATCACGAGAGGTATAGAATACTCAGATAAATATATTTGTAAATATAGATGTACTTATATAGCAATTCATCTGAAAAGTATACTATGTTATCTTTGGATCCCAACAAAAAAAAACCATAGATATAAAAATTAAATCAATGTCAACATTGCTTCTGACAATTCCTTTTAATATCTGATAATGCAAAATAGTTATTTCCTTTAGAGGATATAAGATATTTAACAACTAAATTTTAAAATGAAAAAATGGCTGGTAAATCTACAGAACGCAAGGGAAAAAGCAAAGAACCGAAACCTGCTATAAATGAAACTACGGATACACTAGCGACATTCACACTGCCTGACAGTCTACCTTGTTCTGAAGTGGAATTCCCAGTGCTGATAAAGAAGAAGACCAAAACCAACTGGCTCGAGATTTTGGAAGAAAGCAATAATAAGATAAGAGAAATAGAGGAATATACAGAGAGCAAAAAACAACCGATACCAAAAGCGCCATTTCAAAGTACATATTACATTTCCATACAATTTATAACCTTTTCACCCAAATTCAAAAAGGCGATTCTCAATTCGGTTATTTTTTTTGTTACCCCATAACTCTATCAGTAGTAAACCGACTTAGAAAAATATGTTTTTATTTGCAAAGATATACTTACAGATTGATCTTGATTTTTTTATGCAATTTAAAATAGTAATCAAGCTGACGGCCCACCTGATGGAAAGTGCTAACCGTCGCCTATAGACATGAGCATTACCATGGACATAACAGAGTATACTGTTTCGCCCATGATACCTCCCATGCGTTGCCATTCCTAAGGACTCGGGTGTTATTCCTCTGTAATTTGTAAATTCACTACCATATCCCACCCTTCAAACCGAAACAGCCATGCAAACACAACTGCTTCACAGTAGAAACACGAATGGGACAGAGATGCCCAAGCAAACGACTTTTGTACAAAGACCTATAACAACACTTCATTCAGTTTCATAAAATCTTTGTACCAAGATAACGGTTACTTGTATTTTTACAGATAATTTTGATTTCGAACCATTTAAATTTTTTATTGTTTTGATCATGTTGTATGTATATTATAGATAAATCTCTCATTTAAAAAAAAATTGTCTAAGATTCCTGCTATCTCGTATAACAACGGAATCATTCTGAAGCGCTATTTCCCTTTGAAACCAATTTTTTTGTATGATATTACAACGAAATTATTATTATCCCATCAGGTGGGCTGTCAGCTTGTTCGTCATTCTAAGTAGCATAAAAAAATGAATGCTTCATTTAAAATAACCTCGATTTTAAATTCACTTGTATTTTTTGTATATTATTCGATATCGGCTCAAATCATTGATGATCAGTGCCTTACTGTTAGACTTAACCTAATGAAACTGCGTAGAGATGTTGCATTTCTGTGCATCTTCTACCAAATTTATCATGGGCAGTGCTCTGAGGAATTGTTCGGATTGATACCTGCTACTGATTTTCGTACCGTACAACCCGCCATAAACTAAAGTTTCCTCCCAACCATCTGGACGAGTGGCGGCCTTCCACCGTGCATTTTTCAAGGTACTTTCTTCCATGAACAACCACTCAACTTCCAGCAGAAGTATTTCCGAATCAATACATCATAACCTTCAAGAAAAGAGCATATTCCTTTTAAAAAGGTTCATGATCAACCTTTTTAAAAGGCGGCGGTAGTCACTTACCATCAGGTGAGCTGCATGCACGCGCGGTGTTGTAAAAAAAATCTTCGCCAATTTTGATAATTATTTTTAGATTCAGTTAGGATTACTTCCGTGTTGTTCTCATATTAATTTGATTGAAGTTGATTTCCATTTAACTAAACAAAATTTTAAATCATAGTTTCTACATATGAAATGCCCATCCTGACTAAAACACATTTTAATTTAATTATAACATTTTAATCCGCAATATTGACACTATATGAAGAATAACGATATCCTGTATATACAGCATATACACTGCATATGCTGACTTCATCCTCACCTATCGACTCACACTGGTATCTTGACATATGCCGATATTGCAAGCAAAGTTTCAATTCTATTACATCCCACAAAAAAGTACAATAAATTGGATAAATTAAACTTTACTGGAATATTCAAAAACTTGTAGGAATAAATATTTCGTTGCTATTTAATTTGCTTATGTTATCTCATTTTACAGAAACAGAATGTGACTATATAAAGAATGAGGTTTTTGTTTATCTTATGCCCGCTTTAGAAGAAACCCTATGCAAAGCAAAAATATGGGGTGCGCTTGTAAGGCAGAAATGTTTTTTCAATGGAATAGACCATATTGTTCAAGTAATTATTAATACAATATTATTTTTGTTATAGGCTGCTTTAATATACCTTATATTAAAGCAGCCTACTTATTCTATGTATAACAGTGTAAGACAATATCCAATCCAAAATGCATAATACACCATCCATAGAAACTTAATTTTAGACTGAATTCTCTTTCAGAACAGAGTATGATACCTAATTACCTAAATAATTTTAATGGTAGATCTCGCGTATTTTTAAATTACCTGATAGTAGGTGTATCAAATAGTGAAATAGAAAAAAATTATGTCCTAAGTACGCCCTGGAAACCATTATGTTTAATTCCAGGTAAATTTATCGCGATGGGCCAACTGGTCTGCCTTTTTATCCTCACTTATCATCCTTCACTGATCACAATCGCCAGCGTATACCGTCAACGCAGGCAGAGTTTAGGAAGGATACTATACTGATGCACTTTTATAATATTTCTATTATTATCGACTTGTTCAACTGGTCATAGTTTGTCACTATATTTTTCAAATTGAAAATATTATTAAATCGTTAACATTTTATGTTTGGTTTAGAAACATTTTAGTTCAAGATAACATAATTGAACAGAGTTCATAAGCCATCTAAGGCCTTAATGTGAAACAAATACTACTTTTATGAATACTTTTACAATCGGTAAGATTTATTCCCGTGTTGGCGCCATATTAATTTTGTATTAATATTAAATTATAATTAACATTAATATAGGCACTACTAATTTTATGATGAAAGCTACAGTATTTGTTTGCAAAGAAAAAAACTTTTTGTTCTACAACACGATTTCCAATTCTAAATTCAAAGAAGTCCACCTTATGCGTGGTGGAAATTAGATTAACAGACAATTAATAACACCTTAATCCTTCAGGTCTTATGGAACAATAATCCTCGTTATCCAGAACGCAAAGACCAAAATTTGCATTTATTTAATATGCCGTGGATCCGAAAACACCTTAAAGAAAAGTATGCAAATGTTATTTGTTCTTAAAACTTACTTTTTTTTATTTAACTTTGTTACTGCCGTAATAACACCTTAGATTATAAATAACATATGTAACTTTAGAAAAATAAAATAATAATTCGTAAAACTGACCTTTGACCATAATTTGTGCATTCTATAGGCGACGACGGTTACCACTTTTCATTAGTCCCTTTAGAAAATATATCTATCGATAAATACAATTTACAATGGCCGTTTACCATCAGACAGCCTGATTGCTTGTAAGCCACATTTGTGGTATAAAAAAATAACATTTACGCGTGAATATAGAAATTATTCTTGAGTTGAATTTATTCTTATGTGTGCTCCAACGAAAATGTACTCATTTTAATAAATTCATTTGCTACTTTTCTTGAGAGGCTGACGAGTCCTCAGCTATTCGCAAAATATTTTCCACTTTCAGCCCACGGCCCTATTACCCAAAATCTTGGTTATGGCCCGAAGACTACGCTGCCACGTTAATACAAAAGACTGTGCGCCAGTATTTTGTACAACGTGAGGATGAAGTGCAAGAGATGCGCGACTTTTGGAGGGTATGTAGATATTCCATAACGTCCTAGCGCTGGACGTGGTAACCTATTACTACCACCATGGCTAAGCGACTTGGTATAATTTCATTTTCAGCTTTCCGCCTCTAGCACAAGAAATGAGTAAAAATTTGTATTTTTTTTTAATTGAAAAGTACATTTATATAAAAATGTAAATTTTATAGTATATAATTGTTTGCAATAGTCATTTAACGACAATTTTACTTCCTTTTTGTTGTCTTCACACGATAGGTAATAGACGTATAGGTAATAGATTTTTTCGTACATAATTAGTAAAAAAATATTAAGTTCTTTTTTTATCGAAACAGCAATTGTATATCTATTTTAAAAAAAAAATTACTTTCCCGTGAGTGAGCCACTAAGGGAACTTATGGTCGAGTGATAGTCGACTTACATAAATGCGAAAGTTTGTAACATCTGTTATGTTTGTTTACATGCAAAAACTACTGAACGAATTTAAATTAAATTTGATACATAAATAGGTTATTCTTACTTAAAACATACTTTATATAAAAATTCACGTGGCTGGATACAGTTAGTAGATATAAGTATATTAATTGCACGTACCTATTCTTTTTGTCTGTTCCATTATTAATCACTTAATTTATTTAGACATAGGTACTAAGTTCGTTTACTAATTGTACCAGATAAAAAAATATGGATTCCTGTGGATTAAGATGTATCCGTAATTTCACTACCATATCTCAGTGATACAAAACCAGCCAAATGAAGCTGTTTCAATGCATAATCACTTATACATACCTAGCCATTGCTTCAAAATATTTTTTAAGCTCAAAAGTTCAAAAGGTGAATTATTGTTTTCAGAAACTGGAGGTGGAACGTTTTATCCCTGATATGGATACAAATCCATATTTATGCAAAAAGTTTGCATCACTCCAAACCTTCCGTAAGAACTAACCACTGAAATAATATTATCGTTTAATTAGTTTTTAATTATTTTATTATCGTATTTTTCCCTTCCTACAGTATTCTAATAATTACATAGCTATATAATAAATAATTTCATTTTCTTTTAATTAAGCGGTACTCCCTCATACAATGATGGACTAGCTGGTTTTCCAAGTCCCATCGTGAAGTCCACTGTTGGTTTTTCTCCAGGCTTCGCAATCCTCTGTACTCTATTTGGACTGTGGTTATAGGTTAATTGCATTACAAACTCCTTCATTGGCTGTAATAATAAAATTAATACATAGTTATTTATTTATTATACATAAATAACATTTTTACTAATATTAAAGTAATTCGTGATACGAATATTACTTCCGATGGGCATTGTTTCTTTTTATTACAATTAAATAATATAGCCCGGTTACAACACGGACTAAGTAGCGGGAATAACTTACTAATATTAAATCTACCTTATTACACTAAGAAGCGTATTTAGCTAAGACAAATTTTTGCGATAAACAACTTTTATTACAATATCTGATTTAATCATACTGGTACACTTGTTTCACACTACTGCGTAAAGATAAATAGTAACAGTAATATCTAGCATTATACATAGATGGAATAGATTGACACTCTTTAATGTTTTCGCCAAAAGATTACAATAGTAAACTTATTATAGATACAAACAATTACAAGAATGGCCTTATCTCTAAAAGTGATCTCTTCCAGGCAACCTTTGGATGGAAAGGAATAGTATAATCTATATAATTATGATATAATTATTTTATATTCCTTACTGATCGAACCTAAGCTGTCAGTCATACTAATTTCGGTTCTGATTATTAATATTAGTCAATATATTGCATAGTACATAGAAAAACGTAATTTATGATTAAAAAAAATTTAAACCACTTTTTTTTAAGATGATTAATTAACTTTTATCTTATTATTGCATATATTACCATATATTGTATTGTACCATATATATATATATATATATATTTAAATTGTAATATTTATAAATTCTACTATGTAAATTCAAAAGTGAGAGTGAATGGCCAGATGTGTCTTTCACATAAAACTACTAAACAGATTTGAACGATTTTTAATAGATGGATAGATTATATCCTAACTTAACATACAAGATAATTTATATACTAAATCAAGCAAGCAAAGATGTAGGATTGAGCTAACATTAGAGTATGTTTGTTTTTACCTCTTGAAACTTTAACAGCTATCTTCAATTTAGAACACACGCCAATACTTAGTATTTGGCATTAATTATTCTTACTATTATAATATTATAAATGTGAAAGTAAATTTCTTTGTTTATTTGTCATGTGTTACCTTTTAATTATATGTTATTTAATTTACCTTAATGGCGTAACCAATTACTATGAAATTTGGTACACATAGATGTATATAGTATATATGGCATGCAGAAGGTTATAAGGCTACTATTTATCCCAGTCAGTAAACACAGTCACAGTCACAAGAATAAAGTCATGGGTACAAGCTAATAATGAAGATTACAAACCTCTAATCCTTTTTTCTCATGATCATTAACAATAAATTTCTTCATCAAAGGTGGCATCTCTATTATATTTGGCAGGATTACTTCTGGTTGTTTATGAGCTTCATTAACAGATGCAAACAATGCTTCTTCTTCATTTTTTGGTATTAATTTGTAATCTGCTTTATATGATGTACTATAAATTTCTGTCAAATTTGGTAATTTTCTGCCTCTAAACGTTTTTTCAACCCACACCCTCACTTTACGTGGTTCCTGAAATGCATTAATAATGTTCATGTAATACAATTTGTATTTTAGAAAGGCTTCTTGTTTAATAACTATTAATAATAACTCAATTTTTAAATTTGAGCATGGCCAACTAGTTCCACATTAAATAGGAGCCCTTATTAATGAGCGCAGATCACCACTTTGTCACAAGTAACATTGCGTGACTAGCGCACTGTTATGTGTCGCCGTGTGATTTTATTTTCAAGAGATTTCATTCCTAGGTCGAACCATCGGTTGAAGTTGGGGTAACAGTGCATAACATACTGACATAAAACATTATCATAAATAAGAGCACCTATTGAGTTTATCATTTTTTGAAAAAATTATTACATAAGTAAACATATATGTCATACAATTTCACCTTTATAATAACAGTAAAAATCTAAGTACTTACCTACATTAAATTATTGAAAAAAAAATATGTATTTATATGAACTATTTTAATAGAATAAAAAAAGTAACCAAGTTTTATTGAAATTATTAAAGTAACTACTCTCTAAATAAAACAAATATATAAATAAACATTCAATCAATTAAGATTTTCTCTTTGTACTATTATTAAGAATTGACAGACCATCTTATAGTTGATTTAATTATTCATTTGTTTATTTTTTCATTAAATTCTATTGAAACACATCATATACTTAAATATATACAATTTTATTCAAAATTTTTATGTAAATACTTATATTCTTGTTTGTTATTTTTGGCATCATAACTAATTAATCATCATGAAATTCAGTATACACAAGATTTTATTTTTATTTTTAAGAGGTTTTACCTTCTTTAGGTATATCAGTCCTATGTGAGTCTCCATTCCATCAGTTATACCCAGAAGAATATAGGTTACTTTTTATGTTGTTCATATGGAATAAGTTGCAAGTAAGTAAAAAGTGCTTTTAAAATTGATCATAATTATATCAGCTTTTAACAGTCCACCGCTGAACATAAGCTTCCCACTTGGGAGCGGCATGCTTGGCAAGAAGATTGGCAACTGCAGTCAGGCTTTAGAGATACTTTAGGAGACAATGCTACCTATACCGTGAACTCAGGGCGAAAGAAATTGTTAGTAATGGGGTCAAATAGCCCCATTGCTAGCAATATAACCTGTCAGGTCGACCTCCACATGGTTACTCCTGGAAACCATCATAGCTAATTCTAATTGAACTCGTCAGGATGGGCTAACTGACCTGCTTTTATCCTCATCAGTCATCTATCACTGATGACCCACCAGTGTATACCAATAACACACATGAGGTTACCATACTATTATCACCCCTTAAAAAAAAGCCCTCAGACTCTCTTAGTCAGCTCTTACAAGACCCACGGGATAGGAATGGGTGGCTTATTTTATGCCGGAACCACACAGCCATAATTTATATAAATACCTATTTAATTACTGATCATCATTCCACATTCTTTATGAGGTAGAAAAAGATAACAAGAGCCTATTATTGTTTTGAATAAAAAAAAATTGCATATAAAAACTCTTCGATTATTGAGGTTATTTATTTAAAATTTAGATTTTTGATTAAAAGCAAGGTACAAAAAAACAACTTAAAGTTGTAATAACATAAACAAAATATTATAATTGGATTTTTATTTAAAATTTAGATTTTGGTTAAAATTTAGATTTTTGGTTAAAAGCAAGGTACAAAAAAACAACTTAAAGTTGTAATAACATAAACAAAATATTATAATTGGATACCTATAAATAAAAATTTACACAAAGCAAACTAAACTAAACCATTAGCTGTAGATAGCTTTTTTAAAAGGTGAAAATAGAATGGCAATCCTGCCTGAGCTGCTGTATATGCTAGTGCTGCACCTAGAAACAATGATGATTTTCAGGGGCAACTGAGTGAAAGTCGACCAGATATTGCTAGCAATAGAGCTATTAGATCTTATTACCAGCAATCTTTTTGACTCCAATTGATAGTAGTAAAAATATGTACTTATACGAATATAAATAATAGTCTACCTCATCCGGACAAGTTTCAACTTTCACTATCTTCATAAAACTGGGCTCAGGATACCGCTCAAACACTGATCTGACGATAACTCTTCCCACTCCTAAATTTTTCAGGCTCCCAACTATTTCCCATAGCGTTTTGCCTTTAAAATTTGTCGTACGTCCTACATACTTTATCACAGGAGTAGACATTTTATATTCTTAAAATTAGTTTCTATTTTATATTATATTCTGAATTTTTTTATGCAAAAGGTTGGAGTTGACTTGAAAGTTTGCAATAAAACAAGAAAAATTATTATTATTATTGCTATAAAATTAGAAACAGTAAATTATAGTTGATTGAGGTTAGGTGTCAAGCACGTCAACTTTCAAATAATAGTATCTATCTAATAATATCTATCTAATCTGTGCTATCATTACTCGCTGATCGTCTAAGAACAAGGAATCACATAGAAGGAATGATAAAATAAAACTGTAAATCATATGCTTATCTCCTTTCCTCTTATGCAAATATAATTAGTAAGAAGAAGACGAAAAATACACCATCACTTGCTATTTTTGTCAATTATTAGCAGGTTTTTTTTTTATCATTTAAGAGTTTCTTCTTGTCGGTGCAACTAATTCATGCATCTTCTTCCAGCCAGTTCTATCCCAGACCATGTTCTTGATCTCCCTATACGACATGATATGCTATTTCTCGGTCTTTCTTTTCCTCTTTTGCATTCTATATTTCCCTCTACTATGCTCTTAAAAAAATTGTCATGTCGTATAAGGTGGCCCAGCATTTTGCCTCTTCTATTCTCTATTATTTTAATTAATGTTCTTTTCTCGTTTACTTTTTTCAGGACTTCCTTATTCGTTAGTTTTTCTGTCCAACAGGTTAGTGTATATAAAATGTTATACGGCCGTATAATCCTACCAAATACAAATATAACCTGCTTGCATACTTTCTATATAAACTGTGGTAAATATATAATCTAGTAATGTAAAATTTTTCATTCATAAATAATTAACATATCAAACATTTTCTATATACTTTCGTCCTCTTTTTACTAATTATATTTGCATAAGAAGAACGGAGGCACCCATATGATTTACAGTTTTGAATTTATCATTCCTTCTATGTAATTCCTTATTCTTAGATATTAGGCTGCTATGAATTGAGAAAAATAGCAACTAATAGTTTATTTTTCATCCTCTTTTTACTAATTATATTTGCACGAGAAGAAAGGAGGTAATCATTTGATTTATAGTTTTTATTTTGTCATTCCTTCTATGTAATTCCTCGTTCTTAGCTGGTCGCTAGGCTTTTAGTCTAGACTTGATGTTTCACATGTCACTAGCAAAAATCTTTGGATTTTCAAAGATTTTGGAAGATTTCACTGGATTTCATATAGACTTCGTTTATTGCATACTTTATAATATGAGGGATTTTACCATTGAAATATGTCTGGCATTTGAAAATAGTTGCTATGAAAAATATAAATGTTTTGCTTTACTAAATTTTATTATTTGTTAAATAGGCATAGATAAAGTATATATCATGGGTTTTTCTTTTAGACTTTTTTATTCACACTAAATTCTATTTCCCATTTTACATTTTATGATGAACATAATTTTTGACATTTCATTAATAGTGCCTCTATGGAGCGATTAATGAACTAAAATTACTGTTATAGAATAATTTTGTTTTTTGCCACTCAATCCCAAATAATTTATCTCTGAAATAACATTAATTTAAAGTTTTTATAATAGGTAATTAGGAAGCAATTGTGCAACATTTATAGTTTTTTCATTTAACAATTAAGAATCATTTGCTTATTTTAGTTTGGGTAGTCTCTCTAAGCATTAATTATAAACTACACTATTATCATATTACCACGAAAAGCAGAACCTACATGTACCTATTAGTCATGTTTTGTTTTGGACACCCGATCCAAAAAATACTTGATAGATTTGACATATTTTAAATGGGGTAGTTTTGCATTTTTAATTTGGTTTTTACATTTATTAGTATAATTCTTTTTACGCAACTTAGAATGGCAAAAAAGCTGACGGACCACCTGTTGGAAAATAACAGCCGTCGCCTATAGGGTCTTCCCCCTGGATTGTTAGTAATAATACGGACTACCAGCCCATTGCTAGCAATATACCCTGTCAGTTCAATCTCCACGTGGTCCCACCTGAAAAATGTGGTGAATCCCAGGTATATTTATCATGATAGGCTAACTGACGTGCATTTACACTTGTCATCCCTCATTGATGCCCTTGAAGTAAGACGGTTTGGCAACCACAGTTTGGCTTTTGATGATGTCTTAAGAGGGACGTTGCAGCGACAGCCATGGGAAAGCAAAGTGACCCATTCGATGCTGGACCATACAATAACTGTACTGCACATGTGACTGTAATTAAATGCGTGCATTTTTAAGAAATTACACTTGCAGACGTGAAAACAAAGTTTATGTTGTTTCCATCTCGAGCCCATTCCTTACAGGATGCTATTTTATACGTGATTAACCTGCTTATCCCTCTCCCTCTAACGTACTTTCTTTTTATTCTCTTATAGGGGGATATCTGTGCCCTCTGCTTACTAAGAACATTCGTTAATGGGGTATTTTTAAGGTGAAGAGGTGTTAACTACCATACATCTATGTAAGGTATGTAATATATTGTATACTAAGATTCCAATTTATCCAATTCTACAATAGGTACTTAAGTAGTACTAAAATTATATTGTAGCCATCCATTCGAACTTAATTCGGTTTAAAAAAATACAGGCCATGTTATTCACTGATAATGTAGCTTTCTGTAGGTGAAAGAATATTTAAAATCGAGAATTTTTGAGTTTATCTATTACAAAAAGTAAAATCTTTCTTTTTATAACATTATTAGCTTTTATCTGCGACTTCGTCCGCGTGACCAGGATATATTTACTGACCAGGATAAAAAGTAGCCTATGTCATATAGAATAAGTATACCAAATTTCACAGTAATTAATTAAGCCGTTAAGGTGCTATAGCTTGTTACTTTTCACATTTATAGTCAGTAAATTAGAATGATCAGTAAATTAAAAATGACTTTATCTATTGGTTGTAAGTAGCACAAATATAAATTTAGGATAGCACTTAGTCTTTTCTATAAGTACAAAATAATTTTAGGTTATAAACCATTGATACCATAGAATAAAGGTAGTATTGATATCTGTGCTTTTTTCACCTGTAAATTTTTTAAACCGAGGTAATTGATACAGATCAAATATCCCAATTAGGTTTTAATTTTGATGCCTATATAAAAACCTCCATGTCACTAGATATCATAAAAAAGGTGCTTATCATCCTAAAACCTACAGCCATTGAGTCACTGAAAGTTCTGTAATGAGCCAATACTCCATTGCAGAATCCGAAAGAAGCACATTAAAGTAACTATATAGAATTAGTCTGAATTGAAAATAGCAATGGGACATAACTCTAATATCAGTTTGGAAAGACCACAGACATGTCTGTAGGAAAGACAGGTTCTCATGTGGCCAACCCAAAATTAGATGGTACTACCCAATTTCCTGGTTTCACCGATGTTCCTATCATGATTTTGAATATCCTTATAATACATTCCCCAAGAAATGAGCTATCATATACAAGACTCTGTCTACACTTGAGATTTGTGCGATCAAACAACCTATAGCTAGTAAAATGTGGTATCTAAAGTGATAAAAATTTGGATATTGACTAAGATTCACCAATTATCATTTTGTGATAGACCTATCAGCTTCGTAATATAAGACAAGGCAAAAGACTGCATTGTGTAGAAAATTGGATATTTTTAAAACTTATATTACATTATAATTTTTTATTATTTTCAATTTTTTAATAGTAATTAATTGTTCACAGTAGTTACCTGCATATTCAAAAGCATATAGGTATTTAATAAATAAAAAGAAAAATAAAAAATCAACTTCAATTTATTTTCAATTTCTTATTTTGTTACTTCATGGAATTTACGCGATACAAATGTTGTAAAATATAATTACAATAGTTAACAGTTATTAAATTTTAAATGCAGAATTATTATAACAATGTCATGGGTATGGTCGAATATTTTTGATAACTATTGCATTCTTTGTCTATACTAACTGATACCACTAAAAGAATAGAATAGTTTTCGGTCCTAATGGCGGAACTTTACCCTACTTTTTGCTAGTTATGAGAGTTTTATTGAACTATGGATTTAATCCAAATTTACAATAAGCCCTAGTTTTAAATATTCCAGGCAAGTTTTAGGCATTTTAATACATACACTATTATAAACAAGCTATAATAATTATAATAAATCATTAAATTTTGATAGGATACCATGTCCTTTAATGCCATGACATTGAATATTTCAGGTGGCTTTGCAAATAACTGTTTATAGTAATAAAAACATTAAAACAAACAAATTTGAATTACTATCGACAAGCAATTTCTAAATTAACAAATATGTAATTTGGATAAATTTATCAAGCGTTCCGATAGCAATAATAGCCACCTCTGGTGGCCTTATCCGTATACTTTTGCTAAGTTAAGGATTATAGTGCACGCATACGTCGCACGTTAGAAGCGTGGTAGGGCCCTCTACGAGACGCGACTACGCGCTCGGAGAGCAGGTGAACCGAGAGGGGAGTGCGGCGTGATAGGACATGCTTCATGTCTTTTTTCGCATTCCCGTCAAGTTCTTTTCAATGAAGCTATACTCCTTGCATGTTTCCATTTATACGTAGTCATTATTATATATTGACCGGGCCTTGCAACGATTCATTATACTACTTAATTTCTTTTATTAAATCGCTATTGTTTTAGGCACCGCATCAGCAACGTAATAATATATGGAAACATACCGATCATAATTTCCTACTGTTATAACTGTACAGCAGTCACATTCCGTTGGCAAATCATTAAAATTAAAATAAATAATATTTAATTTAGCTATAAATTGCCTAGTTACCAACCGGAATGGGCTTTGTGAACACGCGGGTGGTGAATAACAAGTCCATTCTTACAAAGGTCCGTATAAATTACAACGGCCCACGACTACACATTATACTATACCTAAGCGATTGCAATAATAATTTAAGACAAATATTTACATACCGATATCCATATTTAAATAAGAAACTTAAATTAGAACAATAATTTAAGATATTCGGGACATATTAATAATAGGAATCAGTCATTCAGTATATCATATCAACAGCGATCGATCGATAGCGATGTCGTCTCGTAGCTCATCCTCCGGTGCGGGAAGCGTCGGGCGCGGGCGTCTCTCAATGCGCTTTGGAACATATGTGGCGCCGCCCACAACTCGCGGATCGCCTTACAGCGGAGTACGGTAGACTGGCAGACCGGCAAACTACCAGAGCGCAGCCGATCCCACGCCGGCCGATGCAGAACTTAAAGGACGCCAATATTCAGAACACGAGTCGTTCATCGCGAAAGCTTTCTGGCTGATGGTTTCCGTGCTCAACATGAAAAGGCTAGATGTATCCTAGAAGTGTGCACACGCCATGCGAGGGCGGGGGTTATGGGTTGGGGCGCAAGGCCCCTGGGGGGGGCCGCGGCGGCGGCGCGGTCGCGACTCGGGGCAGCGGCCGTGTCGCCGCCTTAAGTCGTGTCCCGCCCATATGTGCCGATGCGCACCTCATCAATGACGCGTTGCCATTCTAAGGCATAGGAATCTGGGTCTTCAAGATAGTATGTCCGGTTAGGCTGTAAAAAATAAAATAAAATTAATAACAATAAAATTTATTAAATTTAGTAACAAAAAAAATTATCAAAGTAATTAAATGTGCTGTTTACGTTAATAAACATGGCTTACCGTGTGCACTAAAAAAATTCTAAAGTTCTTAGCTTCAACGCGCAATTCAGGAGACCACGGTATTTCACCTTTAAGCACCATGTTGGTGGGATCAACATAAAATAGGCGAGGTCCTGTGGTCAGCAGTAACATTCGTCGCCGTGGAAATAGACCCTTCCTTTTATCTACTTGTCCTTGTTTCAAAATCAATTCTCCGTCGACGAATTGGTGCCATTTATTTTCACGAGCTTGAACTTCAAGACGACGTCGTTTTTCCTCAGGACTAATATCCAAGATTCCTAGAAAAAAAGATTTTTTTTGCATTTATTACTTAATTTATTACGTGATGTTAAATTATTACACAAAAATATCTACATTGTGGATTTAATCGCAATAAATTTTCGAGCATAACTATATAAGGCAAATTTAAAGAAATCCACAGCCCTATCGCGATTCATTCATGACTTCATAGGATGGCGCAGCGCACAAGTAGCCGAGAGCACAGAACTCAAACGCAGTGTGGCAGCATTGCACACCGGAAGTCTGACGTCATGTCTACTATAGGACAGTAAGCCAAGAACTGAGGACGTCCGTTCTAAATTGTGAATAGCAGTGAACATGATGATGCAGCACAATGCACACGACATGTGCATCAATAACACTATAAAAAATTTTGTAGACAATTTGAAGAAATGTTATGAATGAATTATAAACAACATAATTAATCCTAACATAAACATAGTTTGAAAGTCAACGTTATTAGCAAGGAAACATAAAAACAGATCATTACGGACTCTGTTCAGTTATGAAACGAGACTCGTATAAATTTGCCAAGAATTTAGGTCATGGACGCTCCAGTTGCCTCTTACTCGTCGCTTCAGTGCACTCGCACAACTCTTCGTAATTGTCCACAAGTTTTGCAAGTGACTACAATTTAACTCATAATGTGAAAAAGGTTTCGTTATTATTTTTCTAACTAGTTCTATTCAATTGTATGTATAAAGTGATTTTACTACAAACATTACATTAAATTAAAATCTTAGTAAATTACCTTTTGAAGTAGACAGATCGAACTTCCATAGTCGCACAAGTTGGTCATTTCCTAAACCTGGCTCCAAGTGGTCAGGGACATTATAATCTTCTTCAAATGAGCCACCAGGTAAATAGGGGCTTATCGTTGGAGGAGTTTGTTCCCATATGTTGTCCCAATCAATACCGGCAAAAAATGGATGATTTCGAATACTTTCATAAGTTTCCCCTTGATCATCTGCCCCAATTCTTTTACTATGATCCAAAACCAATAATTTTTCAACTAAATCTTTCGCATCAGCGGGAAATCCTTCAGGGAACTCGTACTCCATTTTAAGGATTTTCTGGAAGATTAGAAATTCAGTGGCAGCACGGAACGGAGGTAATCCCGATATCATTTGATATATAATGCATCCAAATGCCCATAAATCAGATGTACGAGTATCTAAGCAATTATGCAACAGTTCGGGACTAACATACTGTGGAGTTCCGACAAAGCTTATTTTTCTTGAACGCTCATTTCTCGATTCATCTTCCTCTTGAATGCTAACTCCTGATTTTATTTCTTTAGGATCCATAATTTTGGCAGTTCCAAAATCAGCAATTTGTAAGTGCATGTTTTCGTCCAGTAAAATATTTTCCGGTTTTAAATCACGGTGGATTATCCCCTTAGCGTGCATTTTTTCTAATGCTAATAAAAGCTCTGCGGCATAAAATTTTGCTACGTTTAGCTCGAAAGAGCCAACTGTATTAATATGATTTAATAGTTCGCCATTCTTGGCATACGACAAAACGAAATACAATCTTTCGTCATCTTGAAACGTGCAATATAGTTTTACAAAGCCATGTGGAACGCTAAACAACATGTTCAATGCATCTTTTTCTCTTTTTATGTATTCTCTCTTCTTTTTTCTGATGATATGGATCTTTTCACATACTTTTACTGAAAAAGATAAAGTTAAACATATATTATTAATCTTTCAAAAAATAATTCCTAAATTTCATCACATAACTTGCAATAAGTTATAACAAAATATAATTAATTTCACTTACTTGCATATTCTTTTCCACTGTGTATATCTTTAGCAAGAAATACTGTGCTAAACATTCCTTCGCCTATCAATTTGCCAAATATATAGTCTTTAGCTGTTCTTTTCGTCGGTTTGAAGGACTGACTGGGCGCGGGAGAGGCAGTCGGCGCAGGTGTTGGCACCGGGGTAGCTGGAGTTGCTTGCATTTTTATTGGCGACTCCACGAGCGACTCCGCAGCAGCAATCGGAGCCCGAACCTCGTTCGCCGCTCGACTGCTGGTCTGTAACAAAAAAAATGGAACTTAAACTACATATTACATAGAAATATTATTCAGAGATTTTAAAATTTCACATCACAGACGTTTTGAGCGGCAACAACAGCGATGCCGCGTCGACGCGATTCGAAAGCGTGCACTTGTTTATCGGTCGGCGAGCACGACAGTGGCGGCTACAGTGATGGTGGGTTGGTGGTTTACACGTCATGCGCGGTGGGGGCCAGGGGGCAACGCGCCGTCTGGCGTGCCGCCGTCTCGGAAATTAGGTGACCACTAAGTGTGCTAAACAAAGTCGGGTTATTACTTAGTAATATTAACTCGAAATCTAAATCTATAATTTTTTTAGGGGAATTTACTAATTTACTGTCAACTTATAACGTCAATATGACCGATAACTTTTGTTTACAACCATAAACAATACTACGAAGAATGTGATATTTTAAATTACAACAAAAAGGCACAGATTAAAGACTCAGAAAAAATTGCATTCTAGTAAACTGAAATAATTTCTATTAAAATTAAGAAACGATTATTTCATAAAATATAATGTTTTTAGCAAATAGCCACATTGTTGTACTATTATTAAATTGATTTGTATTTAACCACTATATTAATATTGTTTGCAATACAGGGATTTGGAAAGGTAATGGTATAACAATATTATTCATTATAAGCACAATGAATATTAGTTAACAAATGAAAAATGAGTGAATATATCGCGTAGAAAGTTTGAAAGCAAAACTTAAAATAAGCCGGCCATGTTCAGTGGCCTCACCTACAGTTCGATGATCTAATTTTTAAAGTTCGCGGCTTGATTTTTTGTTTATATTCTTATGGAGGCGTCGTCAGACAAAAAATGCCGCGTCCATTCAATGTGAGCGAAGACAGAAAGAGAGCTATAGTTCGCAATTCTATCCCTCTCTCGTAACCATACAGCAGACATCACAACTTCGTGGTTAACGGTTAACTGGCTAAAAACAAACTTGACGAAAATCAAATGAAAGTATCCTGATACCGTTGTGTTGCGAGAGAAAAATCTGTTTAAGATTTATTTTGTAGAATATTCGTATTTTAAAAGGATTTGCAGCAGAGTTTTGGATAATTTAATATATAATTGGTACAATAAATATTATTATTTCAGTGTAGCCAAGACACTCGATAGACAAAACTGACGAGTTGTCACGGCATAAGGTGGAATGCATGCTATAATTACCACTAGGTCACAGACAGATTTTTGCGTATAGACTACAAAGGTGAAATTATATAAAATTAACATTCTGTAAAAGGATAGGAAAAGTCACAACGAAAATATACTCTTAGTATATTTTATTACATATACATTTTATTTTTGTCTCTTTCTATCTATCTGATTAGTGTAATAATTGTTATTGTTTATTAATTTGAAACATACAAATTAAGAAATAGGATTCATTGAAAAAGTATTTTATGCGTCACCTAATAATAGGCGAGGTCCGTACAACCGCAAGTGGGTCTCGAATTCCGTGGCGGGCGATGACGGTGGTTGCGCGGTGCGGCGCGGCATACACCGTCGCAACGGTACTCAGAGCGCATTCCCACAGTAACGCATTCCGCAGTCGTACTCTCCATCCACAGTCGACCTCGATCCCCACTACACACGAATCCCCCGTACGTCGATACTCGCGCGCGCCTACCAATATATTTATCCACGATTTTTTATTGCACAAGCACAAGCGACATGCAGCATGCAACATACACAGACATTTAATGCGTTCCAAACAAACATGGTGAATTGCCAACATACCTGCAACTAGTTAACCTTAAATTTATTGCTGTTGGTATGAAATTTGTCTTTGTTTTTTTACCAAAAAAATTTAAAGAAACAAAACATCGAATAACTAACTACCTACTTAGTGTTAAGAAACTTATGTTACAACTAGTAATAACCTCATACGAGCAATAATATATTTGGGTTTATATTATAGCTTTGGCTGAAGGGATATGCATGAGTTCAACATTGAGAGCCAATATCTATTGATATTAAATCACAGAGGTCGGCACGACATTACAGCCTTGTACTAAATAGGTAGCTGGGGCGGATGCGGAGTGTTATGTTGCATTAAAAGTCTATTTGTCTCTCAATATTCATTCTACATCCTGGTTTAGTTTGCCGATTTATTAAATCGCATGCAATAATTATCCAAGTGTCTGTTGTCTGTGTTACAATGTCACGCAAGTCATGATCCATGTAAAATGCAGCAAATGGTTGTTATTGTTATGAATCTGAATGTCAATCACATGCATAGGAATGACCTTTATAGTAGTCGGTAATAAATACGCAATCAATGTATAAAAACAAGAAGCTTTATCTAATTATACAACAAACAACTCGTTTTGATGAAATACACCAATAAGAATGTCGTTCTATAAATAACAAGTAACAAGAGTTTGTTTATTTAACATGCCATTTTATATTTAACTGCGGCAACGGTATTTTTGCCATTGATAGATTTTTATTGTGACAATCGCAACAGTAACACAAAATTCCTTGTCAATTTATCAGGTCATAAATATAGTTTAACACTAATGTAGGAGTTACATCTTCGATATCCTTTTTTTATTTTAAATTTAAATAAAATAATAATACACTTTGAAAATGCGTAAATGATAGTGTTAATCGTTGATATTAAAGATGTTTCTTTCTTTATATTATGGACAAAGGTTAATAATCAGAATTGTTGTGTTATGTCAGCAAGTATAGCCGGAAATTCTATGAGGAAAATCTGCTGAATTACCAATCGCAATTTGGTGTATTTCCCCTATAACATATGATATTCTTCAAAACAACCCAGTAATTTCTGTTCCTTCATTTCCTTATAGGTGTTAATTTAAACAACAATCAATTTCACCTTCATTAAATGTTTATAATGTTTATAAGTGGGGTTATTACTAACAGCAACTTTAATCCATCGCAAAACTTAGAAGTACTATGACATTATCATAAGAATGTGGAAAGGAAACTTTATACTGTCATTACAGATGAAATGATGAATGCGGCCTGTAAGACGGTCGAAGTGGTAAACAAGTTGGTCACGCCGGCGACGCGTGAACAAACAAGTGCGGAGTCCCACCGACCGTGCGCCACGAACGCGTTCGCGCAATCGTCATCACCGCCGCGCGATGTTTGTTTGTAATTTTGTAAGTCATTCATACGCGGACATCTAGCCGTTCAGAGCGGTCTGCTACGGCTACAAGCTATACACACAGCGAAAGTGCGTAATCACTGGTCTATGAAGCCAGGATTTCCGCTCTTATTACTGAAAATTCTCTCGATCTCATCTAATAATATATTAAAATAAATACACTCTATGCAACATACCTGCATGCAAACGAAAAACAAACTTTTGAATTACTTCGACTCTAAAGATCGTAATCGATATTACTAAAATCAATACTAATGTATTGACAGAGTATTGATCAAATTAAACACTACAGATAAATTTTCCCACTTACACCTAAGTATATGTTACAATATCATACATCCCTCAAGTATATAAAGTGTATAACTGGTAATTTTAGAAAGCATGAAAATATCCATGGTACATTAAAAAATCAAGAAAAATAATTTTATAAATAAATATACTGTCCATAACATGTTAAACTAATATATAATTAATAAAATACTAATTTATTCATTTATATCATATATAAGCTTTTGATTTACAAAAAATACGATACCCAAAATGAGACAATTCCAATCACTACACGACAGGCCAAGCGTTCCAAACCTTTCACTTTCTTGATTATTAGTTATGGTATTTTATAAAATAATGCTTTGTTATCTTAGTCTAAATAACAATTTCTTAAAACACTGAACACCTTTAATATTTCCTTTGTACCGCCGTTAAATGCCAGACAAACGTAAACAAGTGGGTACATAGATTATAGAATAGCAGACGCGCAGTCGTTGACCTTACCTTAGTTTTGGGCGAGGGCTGTTTCCCGCGCTTTGTAGAACTGACACCAAGTAATCGCAGAATTCTGTTGGCTGCTTCAAGAAGAGTAGCACTACCCCTCGATCCTCTTTTAACTCTGATGGTCAATCCGCTCATTTCGATCCGTCTCACTTGTTGTATCCTACCGTTTTATTAATGTTCGGAACGGTTTAAACACAGTCACAGTTCATGAATATTATTTATCAGTCTTAAAGCCGTTAAGTTCACTTGAAAAACGTTATTATAATTAATGGTAAAATTGACTAAGGAATGCAATATATTGAGTTATAATTACTAATAAACAAACGAATTTCTAATATCGAGATAGCGTGCGCACGTCGTATCTCTTTAACGGCGCGTTGCGTACTGAGGAACGAATGAAACGAATAGCAAACCGAAGCAGAAGCATTGACTACAGACCCCGCTCAGTCGCTAGACGGAATAATCGCACGATACGGTACGTACGACGCGCGGTGGCGGTGGCGGCGGCGGCGGCGGGCGGCAACGCGGCTTGGTGTAGTGTAGTATGTGTATGTGGCACCCCTTGCCCCTCTCCAACCCACTGTCGGCTTTTCTATGCTTATGGACCTAGCGTGCTGCAGGCGATGCATTGTATGTTGTACTATGCACTCTTACCTCCCACTACTACTTAACTTACCTAACTGCCACATTGATCTATATTTTATTGAACACAAATATATTTTATTTAGTCGTTTGTATATTCATTAAAAATATGTCTATATAGTAAAATTAAAATATAAATCAGACTGATTATTTTTGTATAATTTATTTTGTTTACACTCAAATTAAAATATTTCAGTAGTTAAATTTGATATAAGCAGTTAAATGTATATAGGTTTGAAAATATGATTTGTTTTACTTATTATTAATATATGTGATATTTCTCATAAAATATAAAACTACGGTATGCATCCACGTGGATGTGTTTTGTATTCAGAGGCGCAACAAAACGGCGGAGTGGGATAGGGGGTGGCATAGAATGAGGAGAGCGGGGGTGGTGGTGAGCGCCGAGTGCTGGAAATGGGAACAAAATCAATAACATCAAGATGCAACGAGCCACGCCAACACTGCACTATGACCACATCGTGTTATTATTTATACAATTTTATATGCAGTTGAAACTATTTTTCATTCCTTTTTATGTTAAAATTTGCATGAGCTATCTGCCTACCTACAGTGATGTGTAATTTAAATTATATTAAAATATGTTAATACTACTTACATCCGATGGATTCATTCGCCTTTGAAACCTTTTATCTCTCATAACCGTATGAATTTTCGAATATTATTTTGTAGTACTCAATTTCATAACATGGAAAACCTTTGGACAATATCACATATTTTTAAATGCAACAGTATTTTTACTTTTATATAGATTTATAATAATTTAAGATTGTGTTCCACAAAAAACTAACTTCAATTGCGGTAAATCCAGTTATTTTGATTTCGAAAACTAAAGTACTAAACCGAATTTGATATAATTTCTGAAGGACCAATCTGTAAGTATATCCTTTCAGATAAAAACAAAACTAATTTTCCAAATTGGTTTATAACAGTCGGAATTATGAGGCAACAAACATAATACAACCGAATTGAGAACTTCCTTCTTTTGAAGTCGGTTAAAAATATATTAGTGACTCATTTACGTAGTAACTTAAAATTTTTCAAAGCAACTTTTTTCTAACCAACGTACCCGCCTCTTGTTACCATAAATAAAGCTCGTAGTGATACTTCACTATTTCATTCAAATCAAAAGTGTCCCGCTGTTGGTTACGGACCCCAACTGTTACAGATTTTTTTTTTTTATTATGCAAGATGAAATAGTGAAAATATTAATTTTGTCGATTATATTTATATTCTTTCAGCGGTTCTTAAGATTTGTGCAGTCATGGACGCGTACAGGACCTTTATTTATATACACTCGTAATATTGATTAAAAAAACTAATTTGTCTAGACTTTATTAATTTTTTTATCTCACCAATCGTTTATAAAATAACGAAGAAACGGCATTATTTAACTATAAGTATTACAACAAACCATTGTGGAAAAGTTTTATAAATAAAATCTTATTTCTACTGATGGCGGATAGCGACACAGACGCCTCGTGCCGTTTGAATTGGTGGCCGTTATGCACAGATTTGTTCGTGGAACGCTTGTATGCGTTCCCAACAAATAGAAAATCAGTTTTGTAAACAATAATTATGATAGGTCAAAGGAATTTAGACATTTATCCAGAAAACATTGCACTAACGCACATAGTTCGAACTTGAAACAATTTAAAGACTAACCTATCCTTAATGATTATTTTTTATTAGTGCGATTTTCAATAGCGAATATGTTATTTAGCTTTATAATTTGTGATAGTGAAATTCTTGGACAAAAAACGTCCATTTGTGTAACAAATATACAAAACTGTTCAGCCGTTTGACTGTGATTATTGTGGAGCAACCTTTTCATAATTTGTAAATTATATACATACTTACAATAAATATTAAATATTTTAATGTAGGAGCCTTTTAAAACACAAACTTTGTAATGTCTTTTAGTTTTTTCTTTAATAAATATTAGGTACTTTTTTATTAATTTGTGCATCAAATCTAAAAGTTCAAAGTTTTGTAGAACTTGAGTAATATATACCTCAAAGTTAGTTATCTGATGCTTTGAGAACGTCGAGAAACTACCATCTGGTCGAACGTAAGTACAGACTAACTTGGTACTAAACAATTTTAGAAGTACTGAACTCTATGTAGCCTTAACGTTACAACTAAGAAAAAAACGTCATTTCAATTTCGTCATAGTCGTAGAATACTGACGGATCTATCTATGTAATATTTGTCAGACCCGTCAGTATTCTATGACTATGACGATTTTATCCACACATTAATTTTCATGTCAACGTTACTAGGAAACGGATACCGCTTTCATTTACTATTTTAATACTGGTTCATTACTTACTAATTTATGCACTTACTAAGAATTCTGTTCTATGACCTCGATTGTAACTCGTGGAACATTGTTTTATTTGTTTTAACAAATTAAATTGTAAAACATACCTACTTATTTTATTCGAATAAATTTCTTGTAACAATTACTCGACTTGGACTTGTATAATATAACGACGAATGCTATTACTGCAATGAGTAAATTTTGAATAAAATAAATAGGCCACTCCTTCCTTTCCCGTGGATGTCTTAAGAGGCGACTGAGAGATTTCACTGGTCGAGGGATAGATAGCAGTGTCCCTCTTAAAATCATCTTAAGATCAAAGCCTAACTGCGGTTGTCAATCCGCCTGCCAAGCGTGGCATCTACTGACAAAACCCCCCAAAGAGGAGACCTATATTCAGCAGCAAACAGTTAATTACTGGTATCATATATATCATTTATTATAAACCGAAACATATTTTTCATATTCATTGTTGTCATCCGTCATAAAGGTATAAGTATTTTACAAAGAAAAGGAAGACCAACCATATAATACTTCTAGATAATTTAAAGCAGGTTTATTTTTTTTTTCTTTGAGTAAGGGTTTCGGACGATGCAGCTGTCGTAGCATGTGCACGATGCGTCGATCGTTGTCGCGCTCGTGCCGGAGCTCCAAGCATCATAATACATACATCAACTATCTATATGCATATCAGATATTTATACACATAATCTATATATCTATTTATATACATATTTATATTGCGCAATTATACTAAATAATATAGGTATCTTCGTAATGTAATTATAGTCGATTTCAATAATTTTCAATTGAAGTTAATGAAAATGTAAACAAAGGAATAATTGCTCTGATCATAAAATAATCTACTAATGACCATTAGATTCAGAAATAAACAATCGATTAATTGATTGAGTTATAAACTATTACTATTACTGATTTCATTTAGAGAGCATTTCTGTGATATTTTGAACAAAATGTTACCTTTCCATTCTGTTTTTTTTTTTTTTGGAAAAGACTACAATATATAGTTCTATATTCATACGTAACCTTAAAATTATACGTACACATATAGAGGACAGATATTTAATATATAAACTTGACACTAGAGCTTGAAGAGCTTTACAAAATCATTCTGAGAGAGCTGTCAGTGGACTGCTTCTCAAAACATTAGTTTTCACACAAGATATTATCTGATTATGATTGTTATGGGAGAGCCGATTGTAGATAACGAAAGGAGGAAAACATATAGAAGAGGAAATAAAAAAAAGAACTTTCGTTGGTATAGTTTTCTTGTTGTATAGTATACTCGTATTTTTTTAATGAGGCAATATGCCTGAGAAATTATAAGTTTAGATATGTTTCATTCAGCATGTTTATTTTAAAATATATGTAATCTGTAATGAACATTTTAACTTAAATAAATAAAATAAAAAATATTTTTATATTTGATATAATTTACCGAATTTTATTAAAGATGTCGATTCGTCGTAACTTAAAATTTTGCCAATAATCATATAGTCTACAGTCTAATGGAATCACAAAAAACATTCACAATGGATCATTTATTGAAAACCGTTAAGTGTCGGGGAGTTCCCTTTTAGTAAAGATAGTGCGAGTTGTAGACGCTTATCACCGTAACGGATCTCTTGTATTTCCTATGTATCTACAATAATAAAAAAAAAAACACTATAAATATAAAAGAATAATCTAATATAAAATCCACTATTTCCTTTACTAAGTCAATCTAAACAATAGTACGCTTAAGAATAAAGTATTTTATTAATAGAATATGTTGTCGTACATTTGCCAAGTCATTATAATTTATTATAGAACTAAAGATGTCTAATATTGATTGATACATTCTTTAATAGAAATGAACTAAAATAATTGACCTGGCTTAACATGAGATCTCACAAATTTTTGCAGTAGAACTGCGTTTATAGTGGAAGAACTACGTTGCGAGGCTTGGCATTTTTTACATTTTATATTTTGTGATGGGATTGATATTACAAGGTATTGTTTTGCCATTGACGTAAACCTTTAATCATGATTAAAGATTTGCCCATAAATAACAAACATGTTTTTTTTACCATCATTATTTTGCATTCTACACGATGGAATTATATGTAGTAAATAATCTTATATTAATTAACAAACATGATATGGTGGTCTTATAGAATTTACAACTAAAAGATAATGAATACATTGTAATGTTAACTACAGTAATTGAAATACATAAATATTTTTCATCAAATAATGTAATTTGCATTTAGCTTACATGACGTTCACAAAATGAATGTGCAGGCTAATAATTAATTAATTTAAATTTGAAACCAATTAAAAAAAAATAGTAATGAAGAAAACTAGATAATAAATTAATGAAGTAGTTTAAACGCGTTATACAAATAGACAGGATAAACTGGTTGTATACAGGTACTATTAAGTTAGTATAAAACAGATAAATGAGCAGTCCACGAGACCAGATGGTTTTAAGGTATTTTTTTGCCGTCTCTGTACAATAAGTCGATCAACCCCTGTGCCCCGACCCAAGCTTCATTTCAAAACAAAATAAAAGCTGCGGTGAGCAATGAACTCACCACCTGGCGATGTTTTTATGTGATATCATGTTCACATGGTGTTGTTAAACAGGTAAGTAGATAACAAATTGATAACTTATATTCGCTCATAAGAGCGAAATTTAAATAAGAAATAATTATTACTTAAATTTCTGTTCATATAAGTGGATAGACATATACACTGTTGCAATTATTAACAATGATTTTATTTTGTAATATTTTGTCAATAACAACAATAAAATTCTGATATAATATTATAATAATTTCTATACTATACATCCATTGACACCTTTAGTAAAAAAAAAATGTTATAACTTATGTGACAACATTATCAAAACTCAGTAATTATAAATATATAGTCTCCCGTGCACCAGAACATGTTTTCATACAAACGACTATCGCAGTAATGAACAGCCGGATTCAGGCACCAGCACTGGCGCTATTGGCGCCATCGCCGTAATATCAGGTAATATTATCATTAGATAATACCTTCATATCAGATTATAACTATCGTAAAACTCAAAGGTATGTATAAAAATCTAAACAATACTAAGTGCTATTGAAAATATTGGGAAATATAAATATATAATCACAGGTATCTATCTATCTGTACATACGTAGAATAGTGCTGATATTAATTATCTAACATGACAGGGGCATTTGTTATTCGTAAAAGTACTAATTTGTTATTTAGCTAATC